CATGCATTGAGATATGAGGCTGCTTTTTTCCTTTGACCATCAAATGACCTCACTGCACATAGAGTCCAATAGGCTTTGATCTTCCTTCCTTATATTTAATCCCATAACCTTAGCTTGGCTTTTCATAAAGGACTGTTTGGCAGCAATCTTATTATTTATTATTTTAGATGGTCATGAATACACACTTGGCATGCCTGCTAGTTTGTCACAGTGAGTTCAGGATTTTTTACCCATCACTTAAAATACGGAACCGTTCTTTATTTAGCAGGAACTTGATTTGTCCTCTATTTTCATAAACATCCAATAGACAAATCTGCACACACGACACCAAATCTAACAACAGGATAAATTACAGGAACTATTAAAACCTTCTAAATTGTCCTGGCAGACCTAAGCAGGATCTCCTTAGCTTCGCATCAGCTGCTGTCATGGTCGCCTAGAGTCCCTGTTACCAGTGTTACGTCTCTTCCTTAGAAAGGAAAAGCTTTCAAACATAAAGACATGAGGGGGGAGAATTAAATTCCTAGCTGAACGGTGACAGTGAGGATGAGGAAAATTATAAAATCTGTCAGGGTGTCAGTGAGTGTTTATAGCGTCAGCAGGGCAGAAACACTACAGAATCTCAAGCATCAGTCCTTCACACCCTGATCATCTCCTGAGACTAATTTGGTAGGGAATATGCTAATTATTGGGGTTCTATTCAGGGTTGATGTGGAGTTTATGATCATGTATTCAATCTGTAATTAAGCCAATATAAACAGCCATTTTAAGAGTCAATTAAGCAAACAAGTATTGCCAAAATATGGCTTTTTCTTTAAAAAAAAAAAATTTTTTGGCTTCTTCTGGGTATTTTTTATTTTTTATTTTAAGGAATCTTTATTCAGAGATCACAGAAATAGGAGTTAACGAGGAACTTTGATGCCATGGAGATTTCACTTCAGCTTGAGAACATTTTACTGCAGACAATATTTCATATTTTGTACAATGTTTAAATAGATATCTATCAAGCTAGTGCCATATGATAGATCATATAGTACACTATATCATTAAGTAATGAACTGTGTAGTGACTAAATCATGCTAGTCATCAAAATTTCCTCATTGTTTGCTGTATTTTATGCAAATTATTTACTATGTATCGTTCTTTGCTAATGAAGGATTTAACCTTTATTTGGACAACTTGCCTCTTTACTAGTAGCAGCTGCATAAACTATAACTTTCTACTAGGAACCCTCCATGTATTCAGGGTATGAAAGGTTTCAAATCTACGTGAGACTAGCAGAAAATGATCCCACCAGACATAAATAACGGCGCACAAAAGCCAAGAAGAGTGCAGAAAGCAATAATCTAACAATCCAATTTCTTAATATAAGGCAATAACTACCAGGGGGGAAAAAAATCATTAAATGTCTTTTGTGAGTACATTTTCAAAATGAGCTGAGAATAAAGCTTTTACAATGCTCATTATATGTTAGAAAGTTAAACCCTTTATTTTTTTACCCTAATCATCATAAAAGTTCAAATATCACAATATACACTTAGAATTATATTAGATCTGTTAAAGGCTGTTTATAAGCCAGTCAGCACCAATAAAGTTACCATCTGTTTCCAGCCAAAGCCATTAGTGGAGGAAGCGTGTGAGGTCAGCGAGTGCATGAGGAGGAGGAGGGAGAGGAGTGTGAAAGACCATGCTAGTGAGATACTGATAGGTGTGTGTGTGTGTGTTGGGGGTGGGGGGTGCAACATTAAGGGACAGGTCAGCCAAAGTTCCCCGTTACTGAAATGTGAGGTTTTCTGTAGTGTGCACTCTGCAGAGTAAAGCAGGTTTGTCTCAAACTATCTGCTTATTCAGAGACTGGGCCTCATTTCCATCAGGTTATGCACGCTTATGCACTTATTCTCAAATAAACAGATGCATTTTCTGGAAAATTGCATCATTTTTTTTAACAGTATCCTGTCTGGCAATGTGGCAATAAGAATTATTGTCTTAATGCCAAATAAGAGATCCAGATTTTGCTTTCACAAGTGGAGCAGTGCGGCTATCGTCATAGTGTTCCGCTTGATTTATGCATATATATAGCTTTATTATAATTCATGAAGGGAGTATTACAGATTTTATGGACAAGTAATGTAAGTAGAACAGGAAAGGAAAAACAGGAAAAAAAGGAAAAAAGAGATAACTATAAAACATCTTCAGTCTGCTTCATCACCTGCAAAGAGATGTAAAAAGAACAGCCCAACTAACGGATATAGTATAGGAGATAGAATAAAGTAACACCTTGATACTATCGCTGAAGTATAATTAGTATTATTTAATCTGACATAAATACTGTGGAAGCTGAAGATAAGAATATGGGCTATGTATATTTGTGGTAAAAGGGTACTTATCCATTCTTTTCTCTTTGTCAGACATTAAATCAAACTAGTTTTTCCTGCTTCAGGTCATTTTTGGATTACAAAAAAAAAATATCTCTAAAGTGCAGAATAAAGATTAAGATTATTTTATTACGGTATTAATTAGATCTGCTGCATTCCTTCATTCTAATAATTTTGTCAGCTGATTGATTTAGTTTAGAGATTGCAGCAATAAATTCTGCTAAACTTTAACATAATAAAGGTGGAGCAGGGGGGTTTGGAAGGATGGTGAGCACTTTTCCCAGACTGACTTCAGCTAAGCAATAAGGCACCTTCTGTGCACCACTTCCTTGTTTTCTTTCCAAGGACTCTGAAAGGGAAGTTAAAGCCAACCCACTGCTTTACATCTTCAAGCTTCCATGAAAGCTAGCAGCAGCGTGAAAAGCTTGAGGGTTTAAACTAAATAAGACGGATGGATCTAGCAATAAAGTTTGGTATTTTTTTAAGAGTACCGGTAACCCATATCTGACATACCTATATTCAGTTATATGTGCTACACAGCAAAGGCTTGATTGCTGGTGGTTTAGCAAAGCCATCTTTATGTAAGAAAACAACTTTCATTTAGATTTATGATTGATTAGACGTTGCATAAAGAACGCGGCTTTTATATTGGAACTGGCATGTCAAATCTTCCCCACAAAGAAGGAAGTAGTTGTTTATAGCAAGCAGTAGCTAGAGTTTATGACTATAAGAGTGTCTTAGGTGAGTCTATATAAAAAGGAGACACGGTTAAACATTAGCAGGTTAGGACTTAGTTATACTTTCTATGAAAAGTTTAAAAAAGTATATATTTACTGAAATGGAACCAATGGGGCTATGAGCAACATCAAAATTAATAACACATTACAGCTAAACAGAGAACATCTCAGCAAGGTGTATTTTTTATGGCAAAACATTATTATACGGAGTAAATGGCAGCAGTAGCTCCTTTAAATTGTCCAAAAGTGATACAGCTTAACTCAGAAATGGCTACATACAAATAAACATAAATAGGGAGTAAAAAAGAAAACAACTTAAGCGACAGCATGTCTTCTTTAACCAGGGTTAAATATGTGAAACAGGGTTTAGTGTCCTGATTTACTTCATCAATGAGCAGTAGCGATTAAATGAGAGATCATGAAGATGGAGTACATCAATCAGAAATGTTTTTATAAAATACACTTTATAGCTTGCTTTTTAATAAATAAAGGGATGTTTTTTATGTGAAGGATGCTAAAGAGGGCAGAAATCTGTTCATAGTCCTGAAGAGACGACTTAAAGGCATCTTGTTTTATTTCAACAAGAACGTCAGCGGTTTCCCTGCATCTTGCTGACAAGACGGATATGTTAGAGCATCTCACTATCTCCTTTCCATCAGATGGTTATATAGGCCAAGAGACCAATTTGCATTTTACTCTACCCTTGCTAACACCAAATTTGGTTCTATGAAGACACTGATAAGTCTGGGGGGGGGGGGGGGGGGGGGGGGGGAAGGGGGGAGAGACTCCTACTGGGTCTAAATTTAGGTCACCGCAGAATCATTAAACAACCATTTCACCCCTGCTGAACAAGACTGCTGACCACATATTGCCTCATTTTTCGGAAAATCTGCCGAAAGCATAAAGTAAAATGGGCCACTTAGGCTTATTTTGGTCAAATTCTGGCGCTGGCCTCTGCAATGCTTGTCCAAATGATCAGACTCTGCAGATGGTTTGGGCTTATCAGTGTTACCAGCCTTATAATGAAATTTGGCAATCTATTTGTCAAGCAAAAGTCTAAAGATTGCTTTTGATGGAGATTTTTTAATTTGTTTTGATTGTGAAGAACAATTTGTTCAACAAACCTCATAAATATGATAAAAGGCTTGCAAACGGGAATAAAACACTGCTCTCAGGATTCTTATTGCTCTACAGCTTTCCTGTCTCCATGTTTGCTTCTACCGCCATGCATTTTTGTAGCCATCTGCATAAATACACCTCAGTGGACAAATTTGCATCTATTTTTAATTGACCCAGCTCTTCATTTTCAGACGGGATGCAGCCCATCTTTACATCTCCCTCATGAATACATAAGATGGCTAAAAAGGAACTTGTGATGTTTGCTGGCCTCTTTCCATCACAAAATACTCCTTTTTTTTAATTAAAGTGATAACTGTTCTTCTTAGGAACAATTAAATATACTAAATCTAAAAAAAAAATCTTTTAAAATAATAGAAAGGATGCTTGCTCTGTTTATAGAATTAATTCTTATCTTAGATTTTCTGAGCTGAGTATAGAAAACTCTTGATTAGAAGTGATCAGGACTTAGGCTTTCGTTAATTTCATTTAGTACAGCTTTTCAGACAGAAAATTAACAACTTTAATTGAATAATTTCCTAAATCTACCTCTTAAAGTGTTAAAATAATAACAGAAATGTGAAATCTCTCTTGAATGTTTTGTAGCTGACATTAAAACACTTGAGCATCACCCTCCTTTCCAGCACCAGCAGGCTTCTCTAGTGCTTTGTAGCAGTGACAGGTCTTGTTCTCTCTGATTTTTCTTTCCTCCTTGTTAATCTGCTGTTCTTTTTCTCTCATGTCTTTTTAACCAACCTTCCTGCTGGATCAGGAAACCTCGTCCCGTCTCTCAGCTCGTCTCTCAGCAGCAAGTAACGCAGCAGTTTGTTTTGCCGTCGCAGCCCAAAAAGGAAAAGAAGGAGAGGGTCGAGAAGGACAAGGGCGAAAGAGAGCCAGCGCCCAAGAAGAACAGTCACAAGAAGATGAGGTAAAGTGAACATGAATCTTAAACAGGAAGTTAGCATCGATTGACACAGCATATTAAACGCTCTTTTGTTTTGTTTTCTCTGCCCTTTATCAGACCAAGATTAAAAAACATCGACCGGAGCAGCGCCCAGCACCTGGAGGTGACGGTTGGAGACCTCACGGTCATTATAACAGACTTTAAGGAGAAGGCCAAGCCCTCGTCCGCCTCCGCTCCTTCGTCCAGCTCCGCCTCGTCGGCCGACCATCACAGCCAGAACGGCTCTGGCTCAGAAAACACGGAAAAGGCTCTTTCGCTCTCCTCCCTGTCCCGAGGAGAGGGAAGCTCGGTCAACGGAGAGTCCCACTGATCATCCTGACTGGCAGCCTGCCTCTGGAGGGCTCTGTCCGCTGTCACTGGTGGATAAACTGTTGGTTATTCTTTGGAGGAGGGGGTGATATTTTGAAGATTTTTTTTTTTCTTTGTTGTTCCCAACCAGCTGAAAGATTCACCTCAATATTCTGAAGACATGTTTTGCTGAACTGACTAAAGTCTGCTGCTAGAATATGGACTTCCTGAAAGTTTGGTCCTAATGAGGAACTTCTTATAGAAACTTAGGACAAACTTTGGACAGACTACTGGATCACCTCGAGCTGAAATTCCTCTAAAACGTACTATATGACCATCATCATCATCAGGAACTTCTTCTACCCCCTACCTGGAGATTTTCAGTTTAAGCAAATGCTTTTCCAGTCTGACCAGCGACTCAATCCCCACTGCAAACCTTCTCTCAACCACATCAGTCAACTTACATAATATCTGCAGCAGGATCAGCAACAAAATGAATGTGTAAAAGTCATCTGACTGAAAATGGCACTGATTGGTGCCGTGGAATGGTGTCGCAAATAATCTGCTTTTCTGTCTTTATCATCATTTTTTTTTTCCACAGAGAAACTCTACTAAGTGTTGAATAAAAACAGACGTTTACATCCTCTCAATAAATCAAGGTTTGTCTGCGGTTATAAAATATCAGTTCATGTTTAAAGGAGATCCTGTGTTCAATCATCTAAATTAACAGAAATTTAGCCGCACATGATAAATATACATATTTACACACAGGTCTATCCACTTTAATTCAATTCAGTTTATTTATACAGCGCCAGTTCATAACACATGTCATTTCAAGGCACTTTACAGTTCAAACAGTCAAATTAATTCAAAGTTTTCTATCTAAGGAAAAGCAGTTGATTGCATCGACTCACACTAAGCATGCTTGTAGCGACAGTGGAGAGGAAAAGCTCCTTTTTAACAGGAAGAATCAGTAATGTCTACATAATAAGGCTGGTGTTTCATCTGAAAGTACTGGCCTGGAAAGGCTTACCTTTTATAATTGATCACCTAAAATAACTTCAGCTTACGCCAGTAGTTTCTATCGTAGAATATGGATTACTATCCCCATGAAGAATAGTTAAAATAAATAATTAAACCTTTTAATGTTACATTCACACCTATGAACACTGGAAAAATTATCTAGAAGTAAGTAAAAATATCTTAGATTAAGTGTATTTACCCTTAATTTAAGTAGGTAAATGAGATAGTTTGCCAATGGAACGAGTATTTTTACTTTTAAAATAAGATAATTCAATAATATGTACTTTAAATAAGACAATAATATTGTGTTTTCTTATTTTAAATGTAAATTGTCTTGTTCCATTTTCAAAATGTATCGTTTACCTCCTCAATCCAAGAACAGATTACTTATCTAGATTTCGATTTTTTCCCAATGAATGATGAGTGGATGGAAACTTCTTGCATCATGCTTCAAAGCGAAGGCCTTCCTTAATCTTCATCACCCCAGCACTCATGAATGTCTTATTTGCAGGCTGGCTCCACATTCAGTGCACTAAAACCATTCTGGATATTGGTGCTTTTTCCTCTCCCTATAGTGAAAACAATCACCATCCATAGTGAGGACACACCAGGGATTCTATTTCTTTAAATTCCCTCTCAGAGATTTATATTTCTAGACGCATTCTAAAGGCTGGATCTGTGCACATATGCAACAATTTTCAGATTTTTTTTTTTGACCGGAGCTTATTTCAGCTAAGATTGCTATTTATAGTCGCTGATCGCACACTAAGGAATATAAATCTACCCCGCTTAAAAAGGTGGTAAAGAACGTAGCTATGAATGACTTTGGTACGCTTCTTGGAATCGTGGTGATCTAAAGAGAAAGCTCTACCTGCTTCAAGTACTGGAGAGGGGAGAAAAAAAGCACAAGAAGCCAACTTCTACTTGATGCGAATGTGAGAGGAAGAAAACAAGTGGACTCCTCCATGTGAACTTTTGAAAAGAGGACTTAAAAGCAGCTTCAGACAAAGATAATCTTCCAGCAATGAACCTAACTCCACCATAACCTCTAAAACCTGTAGAATAGAGCTTTCTATAATATTCTACTACAATGTTTTGATGTGGTTATAATCATCATGTCAGTGTTGTTCAGAGTTTTTTTCCCCCTTTGTAGCTCACAGCTGGAGAATTGTCGCAGCATGAAGTGAAAGTCTTGATATAACGTGGAAAAGGCGGCGTCTGTTTAGTTGCTAGGACTGTTTTATGTGTCGGTTGTCTCACCACTCTAGCTGGGACTAGGTGTGTGTACTCCCAAGAATACTTTGTGGCAAAAATTTGAAAAGAAAAAGAAACTTTATTCTTTTTTTTCACATCTGAATTGCATTTTTCATGCTCATTTGTTTGGAATTGTGTTTAAATGTGTCTAAATGAGAAATGTACCAAATTAAAAACAAAAAAAAAAAACAAGAAAAACTGGTCCTGCTTCTTATTGACGCACGGCCGGCGATTATTTCTGACTTGAAGGTGCCTGTAGGCTCAAGCTTTCCTGGAACACCACTCTCACTGCTTGTTTTCTGCACAATATGAGTAAGATCAGTTTTCATTTAGGAAACAAGGACATTTTTAATAGAAAAACTGCACATTTTCAGGGTTAATACGAAGAATCCACTGCAGAATTATGTGATAGAAGCCTTAATATTCAAAATTTAAACCTTTATTATGGGTAAAATGCTTGCTTTTTATTTATTTATAGATATGTTTTTGACCTTGTATCAATTACACATTTTTTCCCACAGTTAATGATAATAAAATTGACCTTCAGGTCTGTTAGTCAAACGCTCCTCACTCAATAAGAGCGACTCTCTTAAAGCCAGGATGAATGAGCCCTTTCAGGGAACCCTTTTCATTTTTTGCTCCCACCCTTCCCCCAACAGAGGGTCTCTGCCTGCTGCAGGAGCTGCATTAGATTGAACAGATAGCATGAGGAGAGAAGATCCTCATTCTCATCCCTCCTTCAAAATAAAAGAAATGTAAAGGGGCGAGACGAGGAGTTTTACTTGGATCATAAAGCAGTAGTGATATGACTGACGCATTCAGCACATTTTTACCTTCTATCAACATCTAATAGAAATTAAACTGCATGCATCACAGGACACATTACTTCATTCTGTTCAAATCTATATTTTTTTGAAGAAGTATGACACCCATGCTTGTTATTTACTATATACAGCATTGAATCAGTTTTTTTCATACACGTTTTTATTACATTTTTTCTTGCAAAGCAGAAATAACAGGGACAACAAAGCACTAATAGTGCACAAAAACATTCAAGCATGACATAATAAAGAAAAGCAAAACAAGGGGGAAAAAAATCAAATACACATCGACAAAAGAGCAAAATAAAAAAAACAAGTACAGATCTGATACAGAATAATCAAGAGAATGAGTGACAATAGAGAAGTCTAGGTCAGTAGGGAAACCAACTAAAAAAGTGAACAGAGTAAATAAACTAACTCAGCATAAACTCAAAAGACCTGGCAATTGAGATTATGCAAGGATCTGCTAAAAAACTAAACAAAAACAACTGACTGCAAACCACTAATATACCCTGGGAGAAGTGATTAGTGGGATTGAAACCCACCGAGGATAATTGACTTAGTGGTAGGAGCCATGATAAGAACAGGAAACTTTCTTTCCCATTAGCTGATACAACACCACTAATGAAAGCACTTTTTAGTTCTTGTTTTCTTGAGATTACATCATTTTAAACCCATTACGGTGCATTAAAAAAGGGGTTCCACTGTGGCTTCTGAAGGTCACATTTTTTCAATATTTAACTACATTGAACACTTTAGATGTTACCAAATTTGGACATTATTATAATCCCATTTTTAAAAGGTTTATGGCTTTCCTAAAAGCATTTATAGTCTGCTCTCTATAGCCTCAGCTTCACCCAGTTACACAGTAAATGCACACTTTATTAGTTCAATAATGCAAATGTAGACGTTTCATTTCATTTACAGATAGAGAAACACGGAATTTGATAGATCAAAAAACAGATTAGGATCTATTTACAAAAATAAAAAGTACAAAGATAGAAAAAATACAGTCGGTACACCAGCGGGGTGATGATAAATCCAGTGCCTAGGCGTGGTACACCCTGGACAGGTCGCAAGTCTGTCGCAGGGAAACACAGAGATACAACCATACACACACTCACACCTAGGGACAATTGAGGGATGTCATTTAACCTTACAGTCATGTTTTTGGACTGTGGGATGAAGCCAGACATGCACGGGCAGGAAATCAAACCCACAACCTTCTCGCAGCAGGAAGCATCCATGCAACCACTGTAAAGCCCAACAATCCAACTGGATAGTGTAATGTTTTCTAAAAGGCGGGGGCGGAGCTAGATGGGGGGCCAGGGGTTGCCATGGCCACCCTTAGCCAATCATTGGCCACCCCTGTCATTTTCCCCCCTCTAATACAGACAATGGCAGCAGTAATACTCTCAAATGGAATATTCAAAACATTATTTTTTTGTGGTTAATTAAACACATCAATATACCAACATCAAAGATGATAGGTACAGAATTCAAGCTCTCTTCAGAACTAGATTTTAGTTTATGTGGGGTAAAATCAATCTATGTAGCTATTAGTGCTTGTAAATATCAATTTTATGCAGAAATTTTATAGATACAAGTAGGTAAGTAATGACAATGATTGATTTACGCCCCAGAACTCAAAACTGTTTAAATATATGAGTCTATTTGTTAGCAAAGGCTGTAGGAAAGTATAGTTAGTCTTTGTTTAGAAAATATGGATGTTTTGCTTGTTATTTTTCCTGTTGGAACAGTGTAGATTGACGGTGAGGTTTTGTTGCCTATCCGCTTTTGGCCCCCCTCACAGTACATTGGTTATTGCCTGGCCACCCTAAAAAAATTTCTGGATACGGCTCTGCTAAAAAGAATATAAATACAAATCAGATAAATAATATAGATGATGAGATCCTTACTAAATCGGTAAGAAATAAAATATACAAATGAAAAAAGTATTAAATTGCTCATCAATGTATCACTTCAAGAGGTAAACTCAAAAATATAAAACAATTTCCCATAATAGTGTTTGGGAGGTAGTTGTGCTTCGTTACCACCACCAGATGGCGACATTTTCCTCGCTGGATTCAGTCAGATGAGTTTTACTTTCTAAACCTCAACAGGAAGCGCTTCTTGCACAATGCGTCTAACTTCACGGCTAACTAAAAACAAAAAGAGAACGTTAGTTTCTATGTCATGACTTTAGCTCAGAGATGTGTTTTCCGACACCATGATGCGGCGTTACATGCGTGCGCTGCTCCTGTGCACGGTGTTCGCGGTGTTTTCGGGACTCTACGCTTATAGTAAGGTGTTTCACACGGACGGAAGAAGCGGAGCGAGGAGGGCTTTCATCCCACAGAGAGACACCGGCGCCAGGCGAGGAGTGCGGCCACAAAAACCCCACTGGTACAATAGGTAATTTACAGGGATTGCGTGGGCTGAGCTCAGAAATGTATTCAAAAGAAATAATTGAAAGTTATTGAACCCTGGTTTGCAACAGAAAAATCAAATGTAAGTCTTTTTTTTCCCCACATTTAAAGGGCCTCTAGAGGTCGCTATTATCCCTGTTGCCAAAACTATTTATAAAAGTAAATCCATTTTTTATTGCAGTTTATGTATTTAAATTGAAAGATCAACATATAAGAAAGAAAGGGGTGATTGGATGAACTTTACCCCACAGCATGATGCTGCCACCACCATGTGTCACTATGGAAGAGGAGGCCTATATGCGAAACCTTCTGCGGTTTTGCATGTAGGCCTAAAAGTTTCCTTTTGATCTCAACTGATCAAACCTTTTTTCCCCTGTTTGGAGTTTCCCCTGCAAAGAAAACTTATCTCATGACTTTAGTAATGGTATAACTTAATATCTATTATTGCCATGTCAGTGTTTTGTTTTTGTTTTTTTAAGGTTTGAGATTAAAATTGTTGAAGTATGCTTTCAAATTATTTGGTTCTCTCAGCAACAAGTACAAATAAAACTAGATTAATATCTTTAAAATAAGAGTTCACTGATGTGAATATCTGGGCCAGTGATATTAATATGATGCCACAGGCAATAATAAATATTTACCAGCAGGGGGCAGTGCTCCTGCAGAACTGCTCCTGGCCCCTTTACTTAAAGCATACACTACAAAAATGCTTTTTTCTTAAAAAAAATGTGTATTTTCCCTTGATTTGAGTATGTAGATAAGAAGATGTACATTTAAAAGAATACAAAAATAACTCAGTTATCCTATTTCAACTGGTTAATATGTAATTATCTTATTATAAGGGCAAGAATACTAATTCCTTTGAACAGATCGTTTTATTTACCTGCTCAGTTTAAGGGCAAATAGAAATATTTTAAGCTGTTTTTAGTTTTTTAGATTCATTATTGCAGTATAAGACCTAAATAATTTAATATGCGCTGATGTAAGGGACAAAAAAGTGTCCATTTGACAAAGTCTCAAATGTTAAATCTAGCTAAAAAGTCTTTTTGATCTTGTTTTCCAATTGATATATTACTTCTTTTTTTGAGAATCTATCTTGATTTTAAGAAGTCTTACAAAGATTCACCTCATTTGCAGATTATTGCACTTATTATGGGTACAGTCTTGCAAAAAAGATTAATAACCTGACAGAATCTGCTATTGCTTAGTGTCAGCTTTCATTTTTTAGATCAGGAGTCCACAATTATGGCTTTGTGGCTCACCTTTTTTTGTCGAGTTTGGTTTAATTTTTTTAATCTGAAAAACACTGCATCAGTGTCTAGAACCTCCACTGTTATCCAGTATTTTATATATTTCTCTGCGCTTTTAGCCTCGCCATACACATAAATAGCAACAAGATCTAAATAATAAATTTTATTTGGCGTCTGTGTCGTACAGATCTACTTTAAATGACCTTTTCTGCAACATCGTGTGTCTGAACTGCCTATGTCGTTTTCCTCAGATATATCATGCGTCAGAGGGGTCAGGTGGAAGGTGCTGGTAACAGTGTTGGGGTCAGATCTGAGCCCACCATGCACCTGGCTGTGGTGGCCTGCGGGGAGCGACTGGACGAGACCCTCACTATGATCAAATCTGCGGTGCTTTTCAGCATCAAGCGCCTTCATCTGCACATCTTTGCTGAAGATCAGCTTCATGCCAACTTTATGGAAGCTGTGAGTTCCCTTCCTTGTCAGTGTTGTTTATTGTCTTCCTGCTTCCAATCAGCGCTTCACGCTTCTGTGTTGCAGTTGGAGTCATGGCCAGATGCTTTCCGCTCCCGGTTCAACTACACCGTTTACTCCATCAGTTTCCCCAGTGAGAACGCGGGCGAGTGGAAGAAGCTCTTCAAACCCTGTGCTTCTCAGAGACTCTTCCTCCCCGTGAGTTACTTAGAGATAAATAAACTTGAAGAACCCTTGAGATCATCGTCATCCATAAGAATACTCTGTCGATTTACAGCTGATCTTAAAGGACGTCGACTCTGTTGTGTACGTCGACTCCGACATCCTCTTCCTTCAGCCTGTAGACGACATCTGGGCCTTCCTGTCCCGATTTAATCCCTCCCAGCTGGCAGCCATGTCCCCAGAGCACGAGGAGCCCCGCATCGCCTGGTACAGCCGCTTTGCCCGCCACCCCTTCTATGGCAGGACGGGTATCAACTCTGGGGTCATGCTCATGAACATGACGAGAATGAGGAGCACCTTTTTCAAGGTGAAATGCCTCCCGTTGACCACAAGAGGGCCCCATTCCTCTGTATTTGGTGCGTACCAATGTTTAGAAATGCTTGTCTGTGTTGACAGAATGATATGACCCCGGTGGGACTGCGCTGGGAAGAGCTGCTGATGCCGCTGCTTCAAAAGTACAAACTGAATATCACCTGGGGAGACCAGGACCTTCTCAATATTATTTTTCACCATAATCCAGGTAAGCTTGCATCCTTTTTAAGCTGCACATTCTGTGCCTTTAGCTTGATGGATTTAGATTTAAAGTTGCAAAATTAAATTTGTTTTTCATTGATACCAGAGAGCATATCAGTGACTTTTATCTGTGTTTTTCCTCTTTCAGAGTTTCTGCTGGAGTTTCCATGCAAGTGGAACTATCGCCCAGATCATTGCATCTATGGCAGTAACTGTGCCTCAGCTGAGGAGGATGGCATCTACGTCTTGCATGGAAACAGAGGGGTTTACCATGACTACAAGCAACCTGCTTTCAGAGCCGTTTACGATGCAATAAAAAAGGTTTGTATATCTGGGGGATAGCTCTACTGCCTCGTCCAACAGAGTTTATGTAGAATCTTTTTTCTTTATGATTTTGTATTTTACACTAATAAGATTCCTTTAGGCGTTTGGAAGAGAAACAGGCCCACAGCATGATAGATCTGCTATCGTATTTGACAGACACTTTTGCACTTGTTTATCTTTTGTTTGATTTGGACCCAACCTTCTTGTTTTGATGTTAGGGTCATTTTTCCCTGCAGGGATTAGCCAATTTATTTTTACGATTGTGACAGTAGAGCAGAAAAGGCCTTTTAAGAATGACTCTCACTACTCTGTCAATTGAACGTACTGTTCAATTGACAGAGTAGTGATTTCTATAGGATTTAGCTCTAGGGGCTAAGATGGAAATGGCAGTAGGATATTTTTTATCAACTAAAAGAGTTAATTAGAAAAAAAATTCTGATTTGTTGCAGCAATCACAACATTTTTTGTTTAATTTTTAAGACTGGGAATATATAGTGTATGATGCAATGCAGCTTAACACGAGTCTGAGGAGAAACAGTCCCATACCATGACTGTTCTCCCACCATGCTTAATAGTGGGTATTAATTTATCTGCCATTTTATGATTTGTTTCACTTCAAGCTCATATCTATAAAGGTCCATCTGGAACTAAATTTGTCGCAGTGGTCTTGATCCAATTCCGGCATTCAAACACCACCATTCGCATCTGTGATAGCAGGACAATAGAAACCTTGTTTTTTAATTACATATGTGCTTTTAGCGTGTTGTTAATATATATATATATATGATATAATGTATATATATGATGGTGGCTAATAGGCTGTGTATATTCCTGCAGCAGTGGAAAAAGGGTCCCAGCATTCTTGCGCGCCTCGCTCTTCTAGCTGGTCCATCTTAACGAGTTGTTTTCCACAATGGGGGTCATACAAACAAAACAAGCCAGTAAGGTACCAAACAGGAGAAACACATAGTGTAGAGCGGATGTAGAATCGACCAATCAAAGGCCTCCTTTCTCTCCTCCCTGCAACGCTATCTGCGGCACTGTGTGCAGACACTGACAATTTCTGGCTGGTGCACCGGAGTGTATATTTGCGTTAACTGCGACACACAAGCAGGCGACCTGGTTTCTGAGTATAACTCAGGCTTTATTCTTACTGCTCAGCACGTTTTTTTGTGTGTGATTATAGTTAAAGGTATATTGGAGGATGTTTCTTTTTCCGGGTGGATCATCAAAATAAGGGGTCCTCGTTGTTGTCAATCATTCTGGTGATATGTTTACGGAAGGACGTCCTACGTGCTCGTCCCCATTTTCACTTACTAGTGGTGAGTCTGACATAGTGGAAAAATGCAAATGCAAATGTTCTTTTGGAACGTAAGATTGTATGAGAGATGCAAACAGCATATTTTAATTAAACAGAGCGTGCACAAGGAGAAATTGGCTCGTGCATGCTCTCGCACGTGTTTAATAGGCCTTCGGGAGCGTGTACAAGGTTGTGGATGTGCATTTTTTTTAAAGTGGAGAGGAAAAAATCCTCCACTATGCCGTCAAGTTTCCAAATATTGTAGATCACAAACCCTGAATAATGTTACCACTCCTTCTTTTTTCTATGCGTTTTGAAACATATAGAGATGAGAAAATTAAACATTAGCCACATTTAAAGGGAATGAAAGAAATCTCTTTAAACCTTTAGAAGATAATCAGCTCTGTATGGATTGATGTCGAACAGATTTCCCCATCCTTTAAAATTGAAACAGTTTTAGCACTTTTATTACATTGCTAGTCTGCCTCTCTTCAGAGAATGAAAAACAGCGCGTGCCCCTCTTGTAAAAAAAAAAAAAAAAAAACCCTCCTGGATACATCAAAGTTTAAAGAGCAGATTTGACAAGGCTCCTCCAAGTCCTGTTGGTTTAATCTAGCTCGTCATCAGATGAAAGAGCTGTTTTCCAGCCTCGGTCATCCGCCTGCTCTTTCTACCCTCTGGGATTAGTTTTGTTGGATTGCTGCTGACCCTAAAGACCAAATAAGCTTTAGAGACAGCAATTGCCTTATACAGGAGAAACACAAATCTCCATCTTTAGAGGATGCTTGGATTGAAAGCTAATTTCCCCCACGAGGATGTTTATAGGTTGCTTACCTGCTGTTTAATGATATTGACGACACAAGTGGCATTTACTTAATGAAGCCATCAACACTGGGAGTCTCATTGCTTTCCCATTGAAGATAGATCAGACTGATGGTTTATCCATACCTTATCCATAGCCTAGAGTTAAGACTGTATCTCTATAGGACAGGATCAATGACACTACTAGACACATGTACTATGGGCGCTTCACATGCTCATATTTTTACCACCCCAGGCCAAGCTTTTTATAGATTTGTGATCAATTCGGATTTGCCAGGAGGATATGAGCAAATTGGTTAATCTTCTGTGTGGTTAAAATGTCTGGACAGACCATTTAATCCATTTCAGTTTGTTCAGCTGCAGATCGGCATGTTTTTTACAGTCATAATCACTATAAAAATGATAAAGGAACATATTATCGACCTCCAAACTGTTCCACCTTCCCATACTTTCACATAAAGCTTTATAAATCTAAATAATTATCTAGCTGACCATTCATGAATAATCCCTTTGGTCCATTCATATATCCATCCATCAGCTCAGAGTTATTAAATGCAATGAGAATTCTTTCCACCATTGTGAATTGATGCTTTAAAAGAGTGCATTGTCTTTACTGTGATCTAGGAGCTACTAGCCGGGAATCCTTTGACAACCAGGTCATGATATTAAAGCCAGACTTTCAGAAAAATGCACTTTTAGACCTGGGTGATGCCCTCCTTCCCTCCCTCTGCAGCAAAAAGCTGAGTCTGAGAAGCAGCTGTTAATTTTTACAGCCGGCGCTGCATTTGGAGCCTGATTCCAGACACGGAGAGCCACACAAAATCAATAACATCAACTGTAAATGCAACTTTATGAGCGACGGGCGCGTCTGGTTTTGGACTCGTTAAAAATGCCGATCTCTTTGCGACCCAATATCAAGGACCCAACTGCAAGCAAATGAGCTGGCATAAAAAATGTTAATTCCCCTTTGATTTCCTCAGAGCATAGTAAAGGCCCCTTCATTATTGGGAAATTGTGAAACCTCTGCTGCCTTCTCTGGTTATTACTGGACACTAAGCTTATAGAATTACACTGAGGCGGACAATGTGGAGCAGTTTATATTTAGCTAGGCTTTCCAGGCCCATTTATGGCCCCAAAGGACTTAGCTTTGTTAAACCTGAACCTAAAAACATGTTGTTTCTTTTTGTCATTCCAGTATTCTTTTGGCTCAGACCCGGTCGCTTCTTTACTGAAACCTTTGAAGGAGGATCTGCTGAATACGACCAACACCTACTGCGGCAAATCCCATTCACTCTTCACCAAGAGACTAGCACTTAGTCTGGCAAACATACACAGGAAACCTCCACGTGGAAAGTGATGTCTACTGTTAAACCGAACTTGTAAGAAAGTATTTTAATGAGCCAACAGAACTGTGGAACCACACTACTTTGAGATTATAGGCAATGATGGTGTAAAGATTTGAGGTTCTGTCGGAGAACAGCTGCTTGGAGCTCAAAACGCCAGCTGGGATCGTTCACACTTGTAAATCTCTTAGGTTGAGAGCATGATGTAAAAACCCTGAAACCAGAGTGCTCAGCTAAAAAGGCATATGCTACAGGTGCATAAATCCCCCCCCCGCCTTTTTAAATCAAGGATGTTTTTTAGTGAAAAACGAACATCTCCAAATGTGTTCTTTGTGGAAGGACGCCTCTTCCATGGAGAAAATAAGAGATCTTGATGAGCTTTTAGTTCTGATTCTGAATAAAAGAAGCCGGGAGGAAGAAAAGCACTGGAATTTCCATATTGGAGAATTTATTTAACTTTTATTAAAAGGAGGTTGTAACCACATAAGGAGTGGATAAAAGGTTTTTCAAATATTTGTGCAATGGACTGCTTTTTTACAGCTTTCAAACGTGGTAGAACTATGGATGTCCTTACTCCAGTTATTGTCTCTGAGTCCAGATCAAGAGTTTTTTTAGATGATAAAGATCAGTGATAACATTATATGTATTATTGCTTTTGTTTTTCTGTTTCTATATGCACGGCTAAAGTGCATTTCCCAGTGTTAATCATTTAAGGTTTAGTTGTTTGGCCTCACCATCTGGCTCAAAACAATTGATTAAGTCAAGCAGAAAGTGGTGGAAACATCTCTGTTACAATTTATGACGCTTAAAACAAAGTATTAAGTTTACACAGTATTTAACCTCTTTATGCTCTGTCTGCGTACAAATAACTGGATTATGGCACAGTATACCATTAAGTCATATCAAAACTCACTTTAGCAAATTGATGTACATTAAAAAAAGTATTCAGCAGGATAAAAAAAGAATGAATTTCTTAAGGAGTGTAGCTTTGTTGAATCTATGGAAGAGGATAAGGGCCACTGGAAAAAAAAAAGTTAACTGATTTTTTAATTTTATTGCAGTGGGACATGGGAAAAAAGTCAGAATTCTGACTTTTTTCTCAGAATTCTGACTTTTTTCTCAGAAATCTGACTTTAATATCAGAATTCTGACTTTTTTTCTCAAAAATCTGACTTTAATCTCAGAATTATGACTTTAATCTCAGAAATCTGAGATTAAAGTCAGAATCCTGGCTTTTTTTTTCCCATACTAAGCTGAAATAAAATTTAAAAATCAGTTAACTTTTTTTTTCCCACTGGCCCTAATCCTCTTCCGTATGAATCGGTTACACAGGTCAAGGATAAATAATAAAGAGTTCCTCATTTAACGCCATGCTTTGTGAGAACTTTACTGGAGCCGTCTTGACCTAGCTAGTGCTTGAGGGAGTTGAATAGTAGAACTGTTTCCTACAGAAACTGTCTTGAAGAAAAAAAAGAAAAGAGAGACTGCAGAGCACGGAACAAAACACAGGTTTGTCTTAATCCACAATGTAGTGGATTAATTTTAAAAACCCTGATCTATTTTTTTATTTTTTTTTCCCCAAGACTGCCTTAGTAAAAGTGACTGCAAACAAGGAATAAAATTATATATATTTTACAGCTCTTTTTTTTTTTTTTTTTATCTATGCTGAAAATGTGAGCAAAGTACCAAAATAGAAAAAAACATTTTGCAATGTCAGTTTTTCATAGTTTTTTGTTGTTTTTCTGATAATGTGTTTTCAGTAATGTATTGATTAGCATTCAGGTGACTGACTGTTGAATGTGTGCTTCGGATACCAAAGACTTGTTTTTGTACTTAAAGTTTGTGAACCACTGAATGTATCTCATATAATTGGGGTTAAAATGGGTAAAACTGAGTGTTTATGATTCTGTTCATCTAATGTGAGTTTTTTGTTTATTTTTTTTTTTATAAAAATCATTTCAAATATTAATAATATTCTTCTATTAAAAGTTATGAAGACACCAGAGGGCAGCATTTTTCAAATGTATTGTTGCTTATCACCTGTGCTTTAAGAGATGTTGAAGATTTTTTGTTTTTAATAAAGTTTTTTTCATTATAAAGAATGAATTATACTTTTTTTAATGTTTGACATTTTATCAACTGCAACCTTCAATGCACATTTTCATTATTTAAAGAAATAGACTAACAGATTCATAATAAATATTGAATTGAAAGGAAACACTGTTTATTTTTTCCCATACATCTTAAAAAAGTGAGATGTGCTTAAGTCATGTAATTAGAAAATAACGTGAACCTATGTGTCATTTGATCTCAATAAACATCAGAGGTCATCATTGGGCGAATGGCAGAAGAAAGAAAAAGAAAAACAGCAGTCGTATTTGGGAAACACTTCAGGTGAAGTTTAAGTAGCTTTTGTAACCAATCTCATGGAGACAATCTAATCGAAGTCTAATCTAAACACAAGTGACATAGAAATTAAAAGAACAACAATAAAACGCTGGAGAGATATCGAAAAAATATATATTATAATAATTCTCCTTTAAGAAGGACAGTAATCCTTAATATACAGAGTTGTATGATTTAACGTAGCGATACTCCGTATAGAGAGCTGCTATATCAGCAAGGATAATTTTGCAGTACGAACAAAATTTCTTGGAAAACTTGGTAGAAGAAGGTATTTCAAGATTCACACATTCAATTTCTCGTTATTTATCATATATTTCATCATTTTGGTTAAATATAAAAATCCTTTTAACCCACAGTTGATATAAAGTGTATTTAAGTGGCTGAGGTATTACAGCCAATAAGGCTCGGGCACAGCGCGTTGCATTCTGGGTACGCCGCCATATTGGTAGCTAGTTGCTACGGTAAACAAAGACCTAAAACAGCATAGAGACAGAGCAGAAAGACGAGTAAACAGCGATGTTAAAAGCGAAGAAAGGATGCGGAATATACCGAGACACACTGCAGAGGGAAGCCAGGGACCGTTATCTGCAAAAGATGGGCTTCATAAACGGACTTGATCTCTACGAAGTAGAAAGCAAGGAGTGGTGCGTTGGGGAAGAATTTCTACCGCCGTTTGCAAGGGAGGACGTATTTTCGTATCTAGTGTGTGGCGTCAGTGCCTACACACATGAAGAGTTTCGCTGCTACAAGTCGCTAGAGGCTTACAAACAGCTGACAGATGGAAAAGTTCATGACATGGAAGTTATCAAGCCGAATGAGAACACAGTCATCAGAGCCAAGGTAAGCTACCGTCTCAACATGGTGTGGTGTTTGTTGTGGTGATAAGACTAGGTGCTGGCACTAACGTAAAACATCAAAAATGTATCTACTGGCTTTCCTGGTGAAACAACCAAAACTATGAACCCTATTATAAACTATTAATGACAAAATAAACAGAGTAGGACAACTGTTTTGTGTTTCAGTGGACCTGGCTAACCCTCTGGAACACAACCCTACTTCAGCTCATGCTACATGCTACAGATCAGCCAACAACGGTTAACTTGAAATGATACATGAATAAAAACAGTATGTTCTGTAACTTACCAGAATGAAAATGCCGGGAACACACTCTCATGGACGCAGGGATTGAGTTGAAAGTTATATTTGGCCGTCTTACAGCAGCGACCCATGCTAGCCGGCGACTCTTTGTTATGGAGGACATTTGTTTTCCATTGAGACGCCTCCAGGTTGGAAAACGGTAAAAAGACAATCCATTTGGAATTTTTTTCCCCGTCCAGTCACAGCTTGCGCTACTACACCCTACGACACAGCAACGGGCGACCATAACGACAGCAGAGGTAAAATGAAACGGCAAAAAACTAAGCAAACTACTAGCAGAAGAAAGCTCGTCCTTACAGGCGCAAAGTCAAAGTGTAAACAGTGGGCTGACCAGCTATCAATATGGCTGCCGCGCAACGTGTGACGTCATGTGCCCGAGCCTTATAAGGTGTGGTGGAGAAACTGTAATAATTAGTCGATGATGATTGTTGATGCTCAGTTATCGTCATTACAGAACACTGCATGAAAAGTGAGATTTTCGTCCCCGTAAACCCCCGTAAACTCCCGCAGATCTGCCTGATTTTCGTCAGTTTCCGACAATTTACAACCCGTGCTTGTCCGCGTTTGTCGTGCCACAAATTGTCGGAAACGTACCGTGACGTATGTGGAGAGCGATCAGCTGTACTAATGGCCCTAATTAGCATATGAATACAGCAAACCCGCGCGGCTGGCCAGGTCTGGCTTGAATAACCTACTCAGTATTGGCTGAAACCACTATTCTCAAACAAGTAAAATCGCTCGTGATTGGCAGCAAAACCACACGTGGCCACGCCAGGCTTTAATTTTCTTACTGAGTATTGGACGGAACCACTTCTTTTTAAACAAGTAAAGTCGCTCGTGATTGGTTGGCATATATATATATTTACATATAAATTTACATATATATATATTTATTCATATATATATATATATTTATTCATTCACATATTTATTCATTCATATGCTGTGTATTTATGTTATCCTACACTACTACACAATTATTATGCTACCATCAAGGACATGAATGAATTTATACAGGAAATGAAGATTTGCCAGGAAGCTGTTTATGCAAAGAAAGAGCTTTATTGAAACACAACTATATACAACGCGTATCCAAACACATGCGTTTCTAAAAATTAAAACTCCGTGAACGGTCTGTTTGCTTCCTCGGGGTTGGAGGTAACTGGCAGCATTCCCTCCGAGGCAGGTCCGATGTGCAGACGCCTAGTGTGCGTGGCCCTGTACTTCGGCATCGCTTCTAACCGGGACTGCAGCTTAACACAGAGTTCAGTGAGATTCGGCCTACGAAATGGCGGCGACCGTACAATCCATCCAGAGACACCGCCGAGGAAGGCGGACTTCCAGAGTTCCACTTCCTCATCTGCTAGCACACTCTGCCTCGCTTTCAGCAGCTGAAAAAAAAAACAATGAATCAGCGCACTGCGTATGGACACAACACATCTATTAATGCACCTGAAAAATAGTCACCAAATAAAGTCTTACCCTCTTTCTTCTGGCCCGACTCCGAGCAGATAGCCTCCGCACGCAGCGTGTGGCTGGCTGCGTATATCTGAAGCTCCTGCGTACCGTCTGAAAATACGTCTTACAGGCAGCTGGAAAACAATTAAATGAGATGGATATAAATAAAAAATCAAACGCAAGTCACAGTAACAAGGAAGGAGAAAACATTAAAACAAGTCACTTACACACAATGTCGTCTTTATCAACATCGTGCAAATCTGGACTTGCCGAGATGGGAGGTCTGTGAAAACAAAATGTAAAAGCTATGATCGGTATCCATCCGTATCCATTGCCTTTTACCGCAGAATGAAAGCATATTCTTTAAATCTTACCCTTGCTCCGGTTCATAGCGCCTGCAATTAGTCTCCAAGTTGTGAAGACGGCGTACTGCTTCCTGTAAATCACAAAAAATACACTTTAATAAAGCTTGTTCTAGCAAGGCTACTATTAGCCGCTATTAGCCGGTAGCTTAGGCTAGGCTGCTTTTAGCTTAGCAGGCAGTAATCGAACATATATTTACCGCTAGCATCTCTTCTTTGAGTTCGTCTTGTTCGATGCAGAGTCGCCATCGCGTCCAAGAGGAGTTTTACCCCGAAATCCAGAAGGTCCAGACCGCTGCACAAAGCAAAGCATACATCCTCCACTGTGGCTGCACACCGCCGTTCTGAGTTTCTTGGAGATCGTAGGGAGCATGCGCGAGATGAACCAGGGTGTCCGCGGATCAATAAAAATAATTAAAAAATCATTCTTTTTTTTTTTTTTTAATCAAGGCCTTAATTGGCACTAAAATTATTTAAATATGTTTATCGAAGTATTTATAATTCTTTAATAAAAAATGCTTATAAAAACAATTTCGTCAGATATATTATATCGCTCCAGGCGGAGAAAAAGCTAGAGGATATATATATACGTATATGTGTGTGTGTGTGTTTACATACATACAGGAGTCATGGAACTCTGCTTGCAGC